GACTCTTGAGGTACTATATTAAATTGTCCCAGCCTATTTTTCACACCTTAATATTTTTTGTAAACTTACACCAGCTTCATTGAAACTCAGTCATTTACTGTTCCAAACATACTCCACCAACTTCCTCTTCTGTATAGTATTTATTCAAGATGTTCTTCCCTGTCACCTACTCTTCCTTTCCAATACAATTATAGAAATTATAAATGCCTTCAAGAAATATCTTAAATAAGAGTCTCTACAAATTTTAAAGGAGTCTAACAGATGTTTGAGCTTCATCATCTCTGGAGACCCATATTTCATTATTTGTATTTCCTAAGGAATTCCCACAGTCTGCCTCACCATGTTGAACAGTTCACTAGGCTACAGAACTGTAAGGCAGAGATAGCTTTATTTACCGTTGCTCAGCTTTTATTTGCTTGTTGGTATTCCTGATTACAAATCTTCTGGATCCTACATATATTCTAAGCTTTATACTAAAATATGGTAAGAGTGGCCACCATGGTTTCCATACTACCTTGAAGACCAGTAATAAAACCCAGTGAAGGGAAGGGACTTCAGGCCTGGGCTGTCCACAGACTTTTCATCATATCTATGGATTTCTTTTAACTTGTTTCTTTACTTACTCTTCATGCTTTTCTCTCATTCTTCTACTTTTTCTATCACTCCGTGTGAGGCAAACAGCGATATTCTCTGGCATTTTGCTTACTTCTGCTGGTAGCACTCAAGGATTACATTTTCTGACTCCTGGGATGTACTATTAAAAAATGATAATTGCCTTTCTAGGCTATTGCTAAACTTGAAACTAACCTCCAAAGTTTATGGAGTAAAATAAAATGAAGAGAATTCAAACTGAATTTCAGGGTTTATTTTTAAAACTCTCAAATGAGTTGCCAGTCAACATAGGTGGCATTAAAGGGAGGGAAAAACCCAAATAATTAAAGCTAGTATAATGTTGTTTTGCATGTGAATGTAGATATATATGTATATATATTTATATCTATCAATCAACTATATACATTAAAAGAAAATAAAAATATTTCCATAGCTTCTCAAGTATTTTTTCTTTTTGGCTCTATTCTCATTCACACAGTCTTCCAAATTACCAAAAATGAATTATAACTACCTTTTTTTCTGCAGAAACATTTTCCCAATAGCTATACTATTTCTTAGGTTTTATATATACCCATGACTTTGTGATAGAAGACAACAGTTTTCCCAATAAATGTCCTTTTTGAAATATGGAGTAAATTAAAAATAATAACTATGGTGAAGCTGTAGAATATTTAGGGTGAATGGGTAGAAAACCACTTACCCCCAGTTGCCACAGTGATTTCACGGAGGAAATGGCCATAAAATGGGAAATCGAAGGACAGATTCACTCTCTGCAAGGAATAATAAGCAGAAAAGAAAATTAATAATGTGCATTATAGTAAATGGAAAATGAAGAGTCTTCTACTTAAAAAAAAATACATGATGCTTCTACTTCGCACCACTATTATTGTAGCTGACTTTAGGAACCTGAATTCTAGATGAAAATAAAGAAAAAAATTTCCTTAGAAACTAAATGTTTAAAATATGTGAAAAGAGTAAAGTTGGGCTGTTAGGGTCTGTTGATCTGTTCTTCACTTACAAAGGGAATCTAGAAGCTTCAACTCTGAATTGAGCTCATCTATTTAATATCACCATTGCCTTCTAGGTGTCCACTACAATGCAGATCAGCCATTATGATGAGTAATTTATTTTAGAGTTTTTTTAGTTTGATTAGTCTTCTCCAAAAGAGTAGAGCATGTTATTTGTCAAGTTTCACTAAATGAATAATAAAAATATTTTATTTTACATAATTACATATTCAATTTATCTCCTGTACATCCCATAACAAAAAGCAGTTTTATGGAACAAGATATTTTGCACCTACAGATCTAGACCTGCAGATATTTTTAATTTTTAGATGTGATGACCCCCCCACCCCCACCCCAGATTCAGTATACAGATGACCCTTGAACAATATAGGTTTGAACTGTGCTGGTTGGTTCTATTTATAAGACATTTTTCCCCCAATAAATATAGTATCTGTATTTTTGCTTTATAGATCTTTAAATTATCTAAGTGTGGAGAAAAAATTTGTGTCTGATTAGAGATCACAAT